GTCACCAAAATCGCTCAGCCAAAAGAAATCTTACTTTGACATCTTGTGCACCTAAGGTGATCATTACAATAGAACATTACTAGTACGATATTAGCAATGGGAGTATCAATAAGAATGTGTTTAGGTTTTGATTGGCGTCGACAAGATATATTGTATCATATCATGTGTTTGACCAAGATATTAATGTCATCGACTGGTCAAAAGTATTCTAAAATTTCTGAGGATGATTTACCCCACTATATAGATAACGTTATACAGAAGTATGGTCGAGTACTACATCATTTCATGTAGGAGATGTTTGAATTTATTGTATGCGGAAGACGACCGTCGTGTCAGAGGAGGGCATAGTGGCCTTGGCAACGAGGGTACATGTACGTCAGGAAGACAGACTTGGTCAGCTCGCCATAACATAGCTCATGGTATTGCAAATTTCAGCAACGCTGGAGTGTTTCATGTAGATTCACGGTAGTGCTGCGGAATGCGCTGATCTAGGCAAAGAAAGTTACCTCGGTAGCATGATTTGCGGCGTAGTCCACTCGTGTAAAACTCACAAGTGCTGTCCCTTCATGAAATTTGTATGCGGGGATTTTCGATCCCTGGCATCCGCGAAGCATAACAGCTAAAACGGCCTACTCCGCCCTGCACATCCCGAACCTCAAGGATACGGCATGAATATGAGGACTGGTTTTCGTCGACGAACAGCTGAACCACAAGCACTAGGAGGAAGCACAGGAGCAACACAAGCCCTCCAAGATTACTGGTACACGACTAGGTATTCGTAGTAACGTTACTTTAATGATGCCCACCGCAGCGTACTGAGATTAGTAAAATCCTGACGCAATTCGTGACGTTGATATTTGACGTCGGATACACATAAGCTTAAGCAAAATCGATTCTTAGCCCATGATTGGTCAAATATGCAGAAGCGTGTCCATATCCCTCTGATTGGAATATTCGCTGTTGCAGTCTATGATTGGCCAAAAATTCCCACGGGAATACACTGATTTGATGCACTGGCCGCTGTAAAAATTGGCATCCGCAACCGAATTCGGCCATGCAATTCCTGTTGTGGCTGCGGCCCACAAGAGACGAAACCTGATCGAACGAACCATCAAGCCGAAGAGGGTCCATCCGTATGAATACAATCCAGAAGTCATTGGCCACGGCATGTTCCCGCGACGTGTCATGCCTAGACACATTCGAATAAAATTGCATATTTGCACGTTCGGGCATCCCACAGTTTCCATGGCAACAGTATTCCGACGCCCCTTACGCATCCTTCCCCCACGGCATGCGCTTTGGCAGGAAGGGCGGCGATTCTCACACATGGCGCGGACGTATCGCGTGTGACTTGACCATTCCAAAGCACTGTATGGCACACGGGTGCAACCCCCGTCGACGTCGAGGCAAATCCGTGCATATTTTGTAGTTTCTGTTGGCCAATCAGTGAAATCATGTCAGAAAATGCAGGGAAAATGCACCCAAAAACCATCGCGGTCGTGGGTACACTTCAAAGTCGCGCCGCGTGGCGAATTTGTCTCGAGTTGGTTGTATCGAGGAAGCCAGCGACCAATGGATACATCCATGGCAGGGTGACAGTGGCAACGTCATATTGGATGGGCACGCGATGGCGTCTTGACCGTGTGCAAAACACGGCGGCCGATGGAGCAGCCCACGACGCCACCATCAGTGCGTTAGGTAAAGCCTCGGATCTCGATGGATGGGCAAAGGCATTCTGGAATGGCCCGAAGGGAGACATGCCGCTGTTGGATTTATCTGCACCTATGGTTGCCCGAGTCGATGGTCAAGCATGTCACGTGCTCCGAGGACACCGCAGATTGCCCTTGTCGTCATTAGCTTGGTGTCGTCGAAGAAGTCGCGAAAGATTGGCAAGACTCGTCGAAATACGCGATCATGATGGCGTCGGGCATGCTGTAGCTGTGGGGAATACACTGGGGTGCCAGTCGACCACGAACCCTTTCATGATGACTGTGTGAAAAGGCGCATGGCTTACGACTCGATGTTTCTCCATCGTGATGTCGACAGCTTGGTGCTCTTGAAGGATACTCTCGAGGCTGCGACGACATAATTCCGCGCACTGGGGGGACGACCCGTGGACGATATCGCCGACCTGCTGTCATCCAGAGCACGTAAAGACTACCATGACGAACCCACGACTGAGTTGTATCGACGCCGTTGAGCCTGCTAGTGCCCCTGCGTATGTGTCGTTGGCGCGAACTATGTGATAGAGGGTTTTGAAGCAGTTGTCTGGATGCCGCGACCCAATTTGGAATCCCTTGCGCTGCATGTGGTGTGCGCCACCTTCGTCGTCGAGTGCCAGCACCACCCGAACGCATTCGCTGTTGTCCTGGTCGGCGGTGCTGAGCCATGGCACAGCGGTACGAATCGAATGATGAGTGGGGCAAGTTGTCGTGAAGCTGCACCCTACCGAAGACACTGTCATGCGCGACAAGGTATTGCCAGATGCGCCAAAGGTCCATCCAACTCGCGCGGCTGGGACCCGTCAAAACTTCCGCGATTCCACCTACATGCTTCGCTGGCACCAACTTGACCATGAATACGTGCTGGTCGAGCCCTTGCGACTTCTTTGTCCACGTGCCAAAGCACACTTGACCTTGTGGTGGACGTAGATCCGTCCAGTGACCCGAACCACGAGGCTGACCAACTCCACGTCGAATTCGCGCGACCACGAGGAACGAGTACACGGTGCACTCGATGAAGAAAACGCCGGCGCTTCTCCTGAAGAAGGTAGCCACACTCGACAACGCGATGGTCGTGCGCTGAAACGCGACGATGACGATGATCAGATGCCCTGTGCACGATTCCGACTCACCCGAAGCACGAGGGGGCCCTCGACGGCCACACACAAGCAGGCCCATACGAAGATGCCGACGAGGCCGACTCTGGCGTCGCGGACACAGTACGACTTTGTGCTGTCCCGGCTGTTCTCGTACACAGACACGAAGTACGTCCGA